GCCTAGTGGCAAGAAGCTGCACTGCAATCCCAGAGGTACACGGTTTGAATCCACCAGATGCTCTGCGGGAGAAGGAGCGACAATTTCCTCCTGTACCAGTCAGATCTGATTTGGCAGTACCCACACAAAAAATAATAAAATAAAAGTTTTTTTTTAAAAGAACCAACAACTGACTTTAAGATCTCTGATACACAATAAGAATCAACATGCTTTAACAAATAATTAGCATCTATGAGGTTGTATAAGAATTTCACAGAAGGAAGAAAAAAGTTAAAGTTGGTTTCTTATTTTTGTTGAAAGATTCTTCTGTATTAAACATTTACTATAAAAGACCATGCCAAATAAAAACTTAGAAATCATGATCAATACATTTGTTCTTTGAAATCACCCTTGCAGTTGTTTAATTATGCTGCCCTCATTAGTTTATAAAATTATGTTTCAATAAGCACACTACGCATTTGTTTTCTCAGACAAAATAAAAAGTTATCATCTAAATAACTTCGTAACTAAAAAGAATTTGAAGATGTCCTTTAGTCCCCATTTCCGATTGAATACAGGCAGCCCCTGATTTAAACTTAGTCAGACTTATAACTAAGTCGGTTTATAATTTCGGTTTTTCCCTTTTTGGGGGTACATCTTATTGTTGGTGGTCTGTATTACCACAGTGTCCTGCCTGCTGATGCCAGCAAGCATAGCTGTTCACTCACAAGTGTTCACTGTTAGGATTTTCTATTCAAAACACTGCTGTATAGAAGGCTGGGGTGTGGTCCACGGTGAAGTCTGTTACCAGTGTCAGGAGTAGAAATGGAAGGTTTGACAACGTCCAATTCTAATGACAGAAGAAAATGCACTGCGCATGCACCTACCAGATCGACTTGAATGTCACTGACATTGACCCTGACATCACTGGGGGGCAATTCTGTGCCAAGCAAGCAAACTCCTGCAGTCGAGCCAACTGGCACTCACAGCATCTTGCCTTTGGGTTTCCGAGGCTGCAATTATTGAAGGGAAGGAGACTGCCAAGTTTCCCCTACAGTATCTGGAAGGTTTGAACTGCTGACCTTTTGGTTAATATCATGACACATTATGCACTACACCACACCACTCTTTGTTGGTGAACCAACTATAATTATATCATGTTGTTTTGTATGGTCAAGTTGGAACTGACTCAGAGCTGACCTTTGAGTGGGTTTTCAGAGGCTATCAATGACACAGGGGATTAACTCTCTCTCTCCTGCGGGGCAGCTGGTGGATTTCAACCTGTTGTTGGCCTGGCTGCACGACTTTATACCACTAGGCCACCAGGGCTCCCTGGACCACTACAGAGTGAGCTTATTCAGCTTTTTGTGCTCGAAGAAGCATCGGCTGTTTATGTGAAATGATGTCTTCTACCTGTGTGAGAACTGACACAAAACAGTTGCTGGAATAGAACCCCATCGTAAGTTAAGGACTGTCTGTGAAGAGCACTGTTTTGTGTCTGAAACATACATAATTTGTTTGATGCCATTTTTATATTTTCATCCCTTTTGTGTCATTTTTCTCTTTTCAAAAAGGAGTAGTCCCCCTTTGATAGGCAAGCATAGAACTCTAGGCTAAGAGAAGACCAGTGATTGTAAATTACTTGCATTACTGTTTTCAGTATAGTTTTTAACCCCAGATAGAGTTGGTATGTGATTTAACAACCTATTATTAGATGAGTAAGAACTCGTAACAGTACAATATGAGTACCTCAAACTACCAATAATCTGGAGTGACAATATTCAGATTAATACTTATGACATTGGCAGACAACTAGACCATCAGCCATAGACGCTAATAATCAATGAAAATGAAAAGCCTAACTCGTGTCTCTGGATCCACTATTTCCTGGTCCATCTTTACAGTCTTAGGCTGGCTGGCCACAGCGTGAAGGATCCAGGAGTCAGACAATTCTGGTTCCAACTAAAGTCGCTACAGTAGCCCCCCAAACCTAGAGGAAAGTTACTCATTTCTCTGCACGTCAGCGTCCTCCTCTGATGAGAGTAACAGTGGTTCCTGAGACACAGCACGCTGCTGTACGGTGTGTGGGACCGCCAGCTGTCATGGGCCGACTGTTGAAATAGATCATGCAATCAGCCACCAGTCGTAATTCTTTGTCATTCACGTTTGATGTGATGGAGTACAAGGCTAACTCGTAGGTTCTATGCATGCTCTGGCCTTTATCACCTGGTGCTGCTAATCCCATCTATCCACTTAAGGATTTTGAAACCAACTCTGAGAAGTGACTCATTTTCTCTCAAAGTCCAGGGCTCCCCGTGAACTGTGGGGGAGGGCTGAGAGGTGTTTGGGCAGTTTCCCTAACACACCCACACCTGGCCCCCTAGACCCCGGCCGCCTCTCCCTCCTCCCCTGCCCCCTTCAGGACCCCGGGGAGGTGGGCCTCCCTTTTATCATCAGATATTCATCAAAGTAAGACACAGAACTGCCTGCACATATACAGGTATGAAAACAATGGCTGAAAACCCGCTTTCAGCTTTTTTTGGGGGGACAAAAGGGTATTTGTAATTTTTCTTCTTTCTATAAAACTCTGACATGTCCTAATTTTTCTTCTGTTTGAGTTAGCCTGAAAAGAATACATTTGAATTTATAGTTAAAAAGCAAGACTAGGTAAGGGCCTCATTTAGGAATGAAGGGAATGGAAGCTTCATCTAATGCAAAGGACAGAGGATCCTCCATTCGTCTGTGCTCTCTCAACAGCTCTCTGGGTTTACAAAGGGATTCCAGGAGGAGGGGGTCTGTCCAGTCGCTGGCTCCCAGCATGGGCTGCAGCTCTGTGAAGGGCTTCATCAAGGCTCTCTGTCCACTCGGCCGCATAGGAGGGTCAATGAGGAGGGGCTTTGCTTTTGCTTCTAATCAGGAGAGGGAATGTGATGGACTAAGAAAATCAATCGCCTGCTAAACAGATCAAATTCTTCTTTTGTTAAAACGAATGCAAGTGGATTTTCGAGTTATGTCTACATGTAAAGGCATGGACACATTGCTCGGATAGAAGGCTCAGCGAGAGATGCGACGCACCACGAATCTAGCCTTTGGGTGGGTTGGAACCACCAATTTTTTTTTTTTTGCTAGTGCTTAACCATCTGGGGAAACACAAGGTCAGGCAAAGCTACACTGCAGTGGGCAAGTCCCAATCGTGGTCACCTGGGCCGGGCCTTGTGGGGCGCTGGGAAGTTCTGTCCTCTCATTCATAAGAGGGTCACCTAAGTGAATTATACGTAACACGTCACTGAGCTGTACACCTGGTATTACTACATCTACTTCATGAACAACTTATTGAGAGTATAAAAAAGATGGGCATCAATTATTTTGCCTTCAAATGTAAGAATAAGCTGATACAGTTCTTCTCTATGGGGTTTTCAAGGTAGTGACCTTTCAGAATCAGATCACGAGGTAGACCTGCTTTTGGAGCCCCTAGAGAGGTTTGAACCACCAACCATTTGGTTAGTAGTTGAATGTTTCCCTGTGGTTAAGAGAGTGTAAAGGAAAGCGGCAAAGTGGAAGAAGAGATTATTTATGACAATAAATACATCCAGCTACATAAAAATTTTCATAAATCTCTAGAGGAAAGACATGCAATCTAATAAGAAAAATGACAATAGGTGCGAATAAATGTTACGAGAGGATATTCAAATAGCCCACAAATACATAAAAGCTTGCTAAACAACATTAGTCATGAACTGCCAATTTTCTCTGAGATAATGTAATACTAAGGGAGAAAAAAGGAAATATGAAAGTTTTAGGTGAAATTGCAGCTTACCTTTCGATGACTGGGGTTAGAAGAAAGTTGAAAATGACACTATAGAAATATTTAGGATAAAATATCTGTTCCAAATGACACTATAGGGTCCAAGTATGGTTAGTTCTGTGAATATAAAGACCTATTTAGGTATAATCACAACCCACATTCCAAAAATGAGATTAGCCAAAAGCACCCTGATAGGTCAAAGCTAAGCACTGGCCATCCCTTCTTTTCTTTGGTCTTTGTTTCTTCAAAGTACTTTTACCTTATTTTTACTATTTGCCTATTTATGTTGATAGGAAAGTAATAGAAAGAATAAGCCAAATTTTCATGCGACAATCCCCTTTCTCTCCCTACTTTACACATGCCTAAAACGGAAGAGGTGAAGATGTTTCAGTGTGGGAAGGCAGCCATGTAGAAATAAGGAGCTTCATCAAATTAGACTGTATTTTCATTGCTGTGTGAATATTTTAAGTTCTATTGAGGAAAATGCTGAGCAGTCAAGCTGAGAGACTCTACTTATGTCACAACAAGTGGGAAACAATCAGTGACGACATGTGGACTTGAACAAACACGAGGAGCGCGGTTTTATTTCCAGAAAGCCCTCCTACCAGTTCTGTGAACTGAAGACGACACCAAGAACATTCAGAATATACTCTGTGAGGGCAGGGATCTTACGGTGTTAACTGTGATGTTTCCAGAATATGGCATGCAATAGGGTTAAAAAACCTTTGCTGAATGGATGCTAAAAACAACAACAACAAAGTTCCCCCAAAGGTTGGAACCTGTGCTGTTGCTGTTGTTGTTGTGTACTGTATCGTCAGACCCAAACCACAGCTGACCGGCTGGCAGGTGTTCAGATGCAGTAAATCTCATGGGAGGAGACTGCCCATCCTTCTCCCCCAGAGCAGCTGGTGGCCTCGAACTGCATGCCTTCAGGATTGCAGTGGAGCTTCTTGCCACTAGGCCACCAGAGCTCCCATAAATAAAAATACAGTTTAACTGGATTTAGCAATGTTCTCAACTTAATTCACAGCAATCTCTTCCTTCAAAAGTCCAAGGCTTACTTGTATGAGTGATATGGTGAAAGAGAAAAACACACTGGGTTTAGTCAGTGAGTCGGAGCTTTGTATCTAGAAATGCTCTATAATGCGTGTAAAATGAAATTATGAGAGGCCTTTTCATTGCTATTCTTACACAATGAGAAAAATCGACCTTTTACCTTATGAAATCTTCCTCCTCTTCTCTCTTTGGCCGAAGCTGCTTGGGCTGAGCCGTATTAACCCAGTTTGGGAGAGATTTCAGGAGTCGGCTGATATCATCATCTTTTGCCCACGAGGCACTGATGACCAGCTTTTCTTCTGACTGCACGATGCCCCTAGATGCAAGCAGAAGAGAGCCTGTGAGCACACTGTGGGTATCCAGTGAGCACTTCTCAACAAAGGCACAGCAGGGAGAAGACAGAGCATTCATCTCCTATTAGCCTAATAGGAAGAGGTCAATTGACATCCATTACACAGGCCACTTTACTGTAGAGTTCATTCTTGCTTTCTTAAATGTGAATGCTGATAATACTAATTAGCCCCTTTCATCATAGTTTATCCATTAACTAAAAAAAAAAACAACCCAAAAAACCACCACCACCAAACCAACAAACCAAAAAGAAATCCACAACAAAACATACAGAAAGGTTTGGAGGAACTCTTTCAAGAAAAATGTTGAATAAATAAAAAACACCATATTGAAAGTAATAAAATCTGAGAATGCTATTAAATGGCAAGAATGGTACCTGAAGGGTGGCAGAAAAAGAAAAATTAGAGATAATTCCATGACTTAAAAAAATGATCACTGTAACTATTTTTTCATTTTTATTTTTGTCCATTGGTTTGCATAGAAAGTTTATATACAGTTGCACGCTGTCCTTCATTCAAATTGCGTTTCACACACATTTTGAAGCTCAAGCATCCAATTCCGTGGCACTAACTACATTCATCATCTGTACAATCCTCACCTTTACCTTTTTTAGAAAAGTTTCTCATTGTTTTCAAAAGTCAATCCTCTTGAAGTAGTTACTCTCCATTCTCTCAGCTCAAGCTCTGGAAACCATGAATAGTAAGCTGCTAACTTGATACATTTGCCTATACTAGATATTATTACAAGTTGGATCATATAGTATCCTTTGTGGGTGACTTATTTCATTTAGCATCGTTTTCAAAGTTTCTTCACCTCGTATCCTATGTCAGGACTTCATTTCTCCCTGTGGCTGAGTCACAACTATCTCACTTACCGCAGTCAAGTTGGTACAGACTCACAGCTCACCCTCCATTGGGTTTCAGAGGTTGCAATCCGCAAAGGAGGCGATTACTCATCTCCTGGCCTTAGAGACATGAGTGCATTCAAATCGCCAGAGGTGGCTGGCCTTTGGGTTTGCAGTGCAGCTCCCTGTGGACTTTAACTACAAAATTCCCACAATGGCCAATAAATACATAGGTGACTGAGTGACATTTATCCATTCAGTAAAGCTTTTTTAAAAAATTTTATTTTATTTTTTGTGTGCGTGTGCACTGTCAAATCAGATCTCACTGGTTCAGGAGCAGATTGACCCGCCTTCTCCAGCAGAGCATCTGGTGGATTCAAACTGCGTATCTCCGGGATTGCAGTGCAGCTTCTTGCCACTAGGCCACCAGAGCTCCCTTCAGTTAAGCTTCCATGTGCCACTCTAATATGTGCCCTATCTTGGAAACCTGGCAATCATCAAGACAAAGTCCCTGCCCTTACAGAGTATGCATGAAAACCATGCTAACAGTTTTCTCTTTGTCAACTGACTTAGACAAGGAGTTGATGGTTCAGACAGCACTAGAGAGACAGCCTTTTGGTGATCAGTATAGCACTTCTGGACTTCGGGCACCCGAGTGCCCCCACCCCCAGCTTGGTACTAGGTGGCCCCCTCAAAATCCCACTTTGTGAAGAATTTGTTGGCTATGCCAGGCTACAATAATTTATCCCTTTGGGAATTAAGAAGCAAAGGGCCTTCTGGCGGCATAGTCCAAATGGAGTTTTGCTGCTGGTCTAAAGGTGGCATCTCTCTGGTGGTTCAAATCCACTGGCGGAATTTCAGAGAGAAGACGGACAGTCCCTACCATGTAATGTACACACTTACAAACTCAACAGAGGGTCTGGCATCACTGGGTTTCCAGTCAATGGCAATGCCTTTGGGGTGGGTTTTTGTGGTGCTTCTGTTTGGTTTGGCTTGTTTTAGAAAATAAACAAGTAAAAAGCTCACCTTCCACACCTGTCACCCGAAAGTTAGCAATTAGCCCTTTGTTCTACAATGGATCTGTGAACAGTGGCCCACAGGTCCAATCTGTCTGTTCATGCAGATGCTGTAAGCTAAGACTGATGCTAACATTTAAAATGGTTTATAAAAAAACCAAAAAAAATATATTCTTTTTTAACATATGAACATGATATGAAATTGAAATGTCAGTGCCAGTATCTAGATAAATTTTAGGGTCCCACTCACTGCAGTGAAGTGGAACTGAATCATGGCTGACCCTCCATGACGCTACTGAGGACTGCACAGGAAGACACTGTCCACGTTTCTCCTCGGATCCGAATGGCCAGGCAGTGAAATTCCCCACTGACGATGCCCCCAGAGTCCCCTTCTGCTAGGTGATTCGATAACCCTTAGATGGATATTCAGGGAGCTATGGTAGCCTAGTGGTAAGAGGCTATGTTACAATCCCAAAGGTATGTAGTTCGAATCAACCAGTTTCTCTGTGGGAGAAAGAAGGGCAATCTCCTCCTGTGTGATTAACTGCCTCTGGGTTTTAGACTCCATGGTACGCAACAACAACAACAATAAAAACAAGGCTGATATTCTAGTTTAAGTCCTCTTCCACTGGATTCAATTCCAAGTCTAAGTAGATTTCCCAGTCTCCAAATCTCTCATCCCATCAATGCTGCCCTGCTGTTGTGTTCCCTCTGTTTCATTTTGTCTCAGCAATCCCAAGGATGAAACTCAACTGTCCCATGGGGGGTCAGAAACTATAACCTTTGTGGGAACAGAGGGCCAAATCTTTTCCCCGCAGAGCAACAGGGAGTTAAAACTTCCAGTCTTTCCATCATCAGTTGAGCAGTTAACCACCTGTCCAGCACTTGCAGGCACACGAGTTGACTGAAATACCATGGTTTGGTCAGGCATACCTTACTCCTCAATGTGACAACTTTACTTCTGTACACCTATAGAGGTTGTTTGTTTTTGCAGATTTTCCCAGTGCAAAGTGTCATTTGGTTTCTGTGAGTGTTGACTTTGAATCTAAGTATAATAAAATCCTTAACAACTTGAATACTTTCTCAGTTTGTCAATGAGCATGTTTTTTACTGGTCCAGTTGTGAGGATCTTTTTGTCTTCTTTATAAGACACACTAAAGGTTGGAGCCTTTGGTTTTATCAGCATGTGCTTTGAATCTTCATCACCGTCAAAGCCAAGTTATGTCATCTGGATACAAGGTTACAGCTGTTAACAAGACTTCTTCCAATCCCGATGCTGCATTCGTCTTTACATGGTCTACCTTCTCTGATTAATCAGCTCAGCTGACCACATCTGAAAGGGTACAACCCTGACACCTTTCCTCATTATAAGCTACACAGTAGCCTCTTGTTCTGTTTGAATGAATGCCTTGAAAGTGTAAACACATTTCTCCAGAGCACAATTAAGTGCTCTAGATAACATTTTTTTCTCAATATTACCCATAACTTACTGTGGTCCATACAGTTGAATGCCTTTTTATAGTCAACAAAACACATGTAAACACCTCTCTGATATTCTTGTCTTCAGTTAAGATCCCTCTGTCATCAGCAATGATACCCCTTGTACCATGGTCTTTCCTGAATCCAGCTTACATTGCTAGTAGTTCCCTGTCAATGTACTATTCCAGCCATTTTCCAATAATCTTCAGCAAAATCTTACTTACATGTGATCTTAATGGTATTGTTTGGCATAGATTAACAAAATCAAATTAAAGCAAATTTCTCATTCAAGTGGCAAAGTTTCTATCTTCGCCAAATTGGATGTATTAGCTTACAATTTTGTAATGAACTATTATCACAGGGGTGATAAAATTTTAGGGTATATCCAAACAGCCTCAGAAAAAGGCAAGCTACATCTCTAGCAATTATTTTTCCCCCCAGAAGTAGGGTTAATCATTACTATAACAGCTATAATCTACTAATTAATTCACAGCTCAGTGGGCCACAGACAGAGCCATCTGTGTAACTATTTGAATCTGTTCCCAGGGGAGGCGGAGGGAGCTAGGTGCAGCTCCTGGAGCAGGTGACGAAGCTACGAAGCTACGGTGAGAAGGATGCGCCCTCCAGACACAGCTCAGTGAACCTCACTCGGAAGGCACCTGCTGGCGTGGACGGGCTCTGATGAGCACTGCTTCCTCTCCGGAACAGGTGCAAGTGCAGGTGTGCATGGTCCCCGGACACAGCTGGGGCGCAGTCTTTCATTAGGTAAACAACCAGGGGCAGGTGGGCTAATTGGACTCAACTGTTTGGTGACAGCCAGGCACGGTGTTGATTTTCCAAGAATGAATCTTTCAGACACTTCAAAGACGAGCAATCGAGCCCGGCAAGGTTGGCCCAAGGTAAACTGCCGGAGCCGAACGTCAGCTGTGGGTGACCTGACCCATTTCACACCAAAGAGCAGGGCAACAGCCATCAACGCCAGTGACAATCACAATTAGGGATGGGGAAACAGGAGCTCATGTTAGGTTTCTGCTTTAAAGAGAGTGATACAAACATGAAGGAAAATGGTACGTGGGAGAATAAATAGGAAGATGCCAGACAGGAAACATCAGGCCACTTTAATCTCACTCAATTCAGGTCCAAGAGCTTCCAACGGAGGCACCTCCTATCTAGAAGTCAGGAGGGAAGACACAACCTCTGATGGGAACGGAGATGGGGCACGGGGCACAAAGCAGCAGAGGGAGGAAAGGACTCGGAAAGAGAACTTCCAGATATGAAATTAGCTTGGGGATAATTTAATGCAACCTTTAGATAGACACGTTCTTATATAGAGTCATACTTGTTTGACATTTAACAAACCCAGAAGAAAAGAGCTATATTGTAATACAAGCAGTACAGTGAGACTTAATATAACATTTTGTCTACCCTGCCTATGCTTGTATTTTATGTATATCCTGTGTTTTAATTCCTTAATATCTTTTCAAAAAGATTCCAGGCCACAGACTATGTGCTTATTAAACCCCATGAGTCTTTTGGTTCATTTAGAGTCAAATTCAAATACCCTGGCCTCAAATTCCTCATCCATGAGTCCTCTATCCTGACTGCAGATTACAATACACTTGACCC